ATCTGTATCTGGGGCTCATCTAGTTGTCCTGGTCTCCGCTGTCTTTCAGGGCTGTGGAGGTCCTTTCTAGGTGCTGATCCACCATCTGGTCTGAATACGTACTGGATCCGGGTGACTACAGTGACCATCTGATCTGGATACAGACTGGATCTGGTGGTTATGGTGACCTCGGAATAAGAGAGAAACAGACTAATATTAGCGCAGATGCCATTCTACAACATCGGGTGTTATGAGAAGTGTTCCCTGTTCCGGTTGACCTAATTAATGCAGCCTAAAAATCCTTTAACGGATTTGAATATTAGAAGCGTATTAGTGTGTTATGTGTAAACCAGGTTAAAGAGATGGGTCTTTAATCTAGATTTAAACTGCAAGAGTGTGTCTGCCTCCCGAACAATGTTATCACGTGACTCAATTAATATTATTCATGTACCTTCACTATCATCAGAAATCGTACATTCGACAGTTAATAGTGCATTTCTGTAACGTTCGTGCCTTTACTTACATATGACTCTTATGTATGACAAGTATGTGTTACAAGTATGTATTTTCAGCACATTTACATTTTGTTTAAGAAGGTTTTGTTTGTGTTCGTTACTGGATTTACATGACATGCGGAATACAGTGAATTCGATTGTACACTCATATTTCTTGGTGATGGGAGGATACTATGATTTTGTAGCTTTTTGCGCTTCTGTAAGATCAAGTTCATGGTCATTCATTGTTCTGCGGCTGTACTGTGAGTGATTTTAATGCTCTGTAGCATGTTCTTTCCGTGAAACATGCTAGCCATACAGTGCGAAGGCAGGCAGAAACAGTGGACCCAGTGTTGCCAACTAATTCGTAGGGGAAGTTACTAAAGGAAGTTCGATTTGTTGCTAAAAGTTGCTAAATGATGTTGTGATGTCATTGCGTGCATTGCATTTTTGAATGATTACAAGTTTTTTTATTAGCTTGTAAACTAGTAAAACTACACATTCTGAACAATTATAGTTTTAAGCAGTGTATTAGTAGTCAGTATGCTACACTCTAAAAAAAGAATTTACCTGCATTTTAAATTATGCATTGTATTTTGTGTTTCGGGTTACAACAGATGATGGATAACAGATAATGTCCTGGAAAATTACTAGTACGTTTTCCATTTTTCTAGATATTTTCCTTACAGTGTACTAACTGATCAACAATCACAGGTACAAGCTACTAATGAGGTGTATCATAAAAGAAAAATTATTAAATTATTATTATTATTATCAAATTGAACAATTGCAAATAGCAGTAACTTAATTCACGTGATACGTGTTCTGCTAGGCATCTTTGGTTTCCTCTTTTTGTGAAATATAGATGGAAAATGTGTGCCTTTTTATTGTTTGAGCCACTTATCAAAAGTTGCTAAAAGTAGCCAAATAAAATTTAAAAATAGCTAAATTTGTTGCTAGGTGCTTTTGGAAGAAAAAGTTGCTAGGGTAGTCTGAAAAGTTGCTAAATTTAGCAACATGCATAATAACACAACAAGCTATAAAATTGAGGATTTTTCATTCACTCACACTTGAAACACTTGCAGTACAGACGGAGGGTTTATACTGGGTGTAATATTAAATAATGTTCCAGTGAATAATGTTCCACGCCACTTTGATATTCCAGTAGCTACTACTTGATACATTGGAAGACATACAATTATCTGGAGTTATGTAAAGTGGTGGTAATCTAAATAAAACTGCTAACTGCTTTCAATTGAAAGTAGCTAAAACTGGTATAGCTAAATGTCACTAGATGACATCATAATGACAAATTCACTGATCTATATAAAGATGAATGTAGATCAGTGGGCAAGATCAGAACTTAGATAAGGTTTGTCCAAGAAGTTGCTATAATTTGCTGCCCCTTACGAAAAAGAAGTTTATTCAAGTGTGCTATTAGTATACTTCTTTTAAACTAAAAATAGGAAAGTATACTTTTAGTCTACTTTTTATGTTCTTCTCAGAAATGGGCTTTATGTACTTCTCAGAAATATACTTAAAATTACATTTAAGTATACTTGACTTATACTTCTAAAAAGTCTAAATATATTTTAGCTATAATTTTGCTCCTAGAATCCGTGTTTTCATTGTTATACTGTAGGGCACTACTACACATCTTCTGTACAGAATTTACAAAAAACACAAGTGAAGAAGAAACCGAAACAACAGATGCCTCCACATGTATTCTAACACGATCATCAGACATAAAACAGTATCAAAACTATGTAAAATTATGGAATAAAATGTAGACCAATAAAGAGGTAATAATGACTGTCAAGCTTTGGGGTGTTGATCGACTCTATCTACGTTTTGATTATCATTCTGAATCCAATTCATATGTAAACTAGCTGTGTACTCAAAGTTTACTACTGTTATACTTAAAGTATACTTAAAAGTATACTTTTATATACTAGAAAGTGGGCCAATTTAGTCCCAAGGAGTATTGAAATAGTACACTTACAAGTATACTACTAGTACACTGATATTTGTATACTTACTACATAAAGTATACTTAAAAATATACTTGAACTTAAGTATACTTACTAAAATAATCTTGAAGTATACTACTTTTTGGTAAGGGGCGTTAAAGTCCTCCTGGGACGTTCGTACTTACGAGTTGACAAGTCGTAATTACGACGTCAGGTGCGTTCAAGTCAGTTTAGTCGGCACAAGATGGCGGTGTACCTTCTTTTAATAAATTACAAGAAAATACAACAAGGGTCTGTTAACTCTGCTTATAGAAAATGAAGAGCAAAGAATTCGCATCAGGTGTGTTTTGCGTTTTTAATATTTTTAAAAAGTAATTAAAGAAGCCACTTTAATCTGTATCGCATAAAACCGTGTTATTAATTGTTATATTACAATCCTGCCACATTCAAAAAGCTTATTTTTTTGTAAATAAAAAGCCTGACAATGTCACTGCTTAATACCTATAAGTATTGTGATTTATGTTTTACTTTGGCAATCTCTCTGTCTCCCTCTGTCAGACATGCAGTTCTACAGTACTTGTCAATGACAACCCACTAAACTATCAATTTAAACAAAAATTTACAGTCAACTACAGACGCTGCATCCATCGATTCCGCCATGTTTCTCATTGACTCGTCCCCAACTAGGGGCTTAAAGAAAATTTTGTTTCCCACTCGTAATAACGAGTTTGTGGTGGTGTTCATGTGCGTTCAACTCGTAAATACGATCTATCCGACATGATTTGAACGCACCAGTAGTCCCTAAACTTTTGAAAAAAGTCTCGAAAGGGGCGGGAAAGTGCTAAATCTAGCTACAAAGTAGCTAAATTGGCAACACTGCTGCTTTGATGGATGGTTTCCTCTTGACATGCATTGCACAGGATTTGTCAGAAACAGCCATGTATCAAGTTTTGTTTCATTATTGTTTCATTATTTATCAAGTTATCTCTCTCACATCAAAGATAAACAAACTTGTCATTGCCCTGAATTCTCAGACTAAATAACAAGCAACCGGTGGAGACACAGATAAACTCTGTTGTGTAAATCACACTTCCTCTGTTTAGTCACATGGACTTAATTCGAGGACTTTCAAGGCACCACAACCTCTGACATTATATTCAATGAATATGTTTTTAATGTTTATTTGACCTTTCAACAAATGTATACAGACAGTCTTATAAACTTCCACTTTTGTTTTGTTTTATTGCAGAACAAGAGCACTTGCAGAGAAAGATACAGAAGATACATTATAACCAAATAATATATACAGGGAATAAGTTCAATTAATTAACCAGAGAAAAGGTTTCAATCATTCATTTTGTTTTTTTTATTTCGTGCTTTTAGAGTCTCAATATATTGCATTCGTTCAGTTTTAAATTGTATGATGTTAGGTTTATTGTTTGCCCATTTTTATTTAGTACTTTCCACACATAATTACAAATTAATCGCCAGATTTTGTTCTTATACAATAAAAATATCTCTTTAGTGGTCTGCCAAAACTTTTAGTTTTTTGGATTCTTCCTCTAGAACAGTGAATCTCAACCGTTTGGCATACCCGGACCCCAGTCTAATTCAGAACCATCCTCAAGGACCCCCAGAACAATCAATGTATCATTTGTGTCTTTGAGGACCAAATGCAGTCAAGTATAATTCAAGTTAGTTGCCATATCATTTTTCTTTCATGGGAACGTCATGTCAAAATATACAAAATGTATACAAAAATTCATACTTTATACGGACCCCCTGGTCTTACGTCAAGGACCACTAGGGGTCCACAGACCCCTGATTGAGAAACACCGCTCTAGAAGGCACATGAAGTCTCCATGTCTCTAAAAAAATATTGAGACTACTATCAATAATTAAGTGAATGACTTTTATAAGAGAGACATTATTTAACTTCCAGGCCTCTTTTCTCTCAATCTGATTACACAATGCATTCCAATATGATTTGAATTTAGGTATAACAATGCGTTTCTGCAGATTATTTTAATAGAAAAGTTTATCCAAAATGTCGACACTATTAACTCTAATCTGCATTATATGTTGGAGAGATACACTCGGGATATTTTTTGTATGTCGTTTTGGATAAAAGCGTCTGCTATATGCATAAATGTAAATGCAGAATATCACTTGATAAGTTTTGAATAAGGCCACATTTTGCAGTTTATGAAAACAAGACACATTGGTCACATCAAAATTATATCAAGTCTGGGATGATATTCCACATTTTGTCTTTGAAACATATATAGTTCTTTATCCATTTGTAAAAAGCTTCCATGACTCAGCACTGCTCCCGTGCACACTGTCTGGACACAGAGGAGCTGTACAAACATGTCCCAGAGCTGTCCCAGAGCTGTTAGTGATAACAATCAGATTAAATGAACAGATGAACAGAACTCAATGCTGTTATTCTGTAAAGAAAAGAAAAAAAAGGACCCCTCCAAAGTCTCTGGCAAATGAATGTGGAAACCCTCTTAATGGCAGGAGAGGGCAGCACTGTCTATTTTGGGTCATGTTATCTACCCAAGAAGATAATGAAGAAGAAGCATGCACGAGGACGTTTTAAATAGACTCGGGGAGGTTCAGTGACTATTGCTTCTTCGCAAGTAAGTCCTTTATTACTAGGTTTTAAAATAGTTAACCAGTAGTTGTTTAATGGGTTTAAATGTCAAAACTCTAAGGAGGCGAAAGTGAGTTGACAAACGACTGATATATACTATCAAAACTTTTTAAAACTCTGAATCATTTGATTCACAAAACGATTCACTTTTTCGAAGCGTTTCTAAACACTACAGGTTGGCGGCATCTGCTGATCAGAACGGTGCAAATGCAACATCCCAAACGTGTATAATGACTCCTTTTACAAACATAGTGCGAAAGTTTAAAGAAAAAAGCAATCTGTTAAACGCAATCTAAAAATACGTACATATCGATAAATATAAAAGGTTTTGTAAAAAGGTGTAGGCTATTTTGTGTTCTTATGCAGGGCTTGGCAAACTAGGTCAATAAGAAGCCATTAAACATAGTTCTCATTTTTATAATGCATACAGGTGCATCTCAATAAATTAGAATGTCGTGGAAAAGTTCATTTATTTCAGTAATTCAACTCAAATTGTGAAACTCGTGTATTAAATAAATTCAATGCACACAGACTGAAGTAGTTTAAGTCTTTGGTTCTTTTAATTGTGATGATTTTGGCTCACATTTAACAAAAACCCACCAATTCACCATCTCAACAAATTAGAATATGGTGACATGCCAATCAGCTAATCAACACAAAACACCTGCAAAGGTTTCCTGAGCCTTCAAAATGGCCTCTCAGTTTGGTTCACTAGGCTACACAAGCATGGGGAAGACTGCTGATCTGACAGTTGTCCACAAGACAATCATTGACACCCTTCACAAGGAGCCACAAACATTCATTGCCAAAGAAGCTGGCTGTTCACAGAGTGCTGTATCCGATGCTCCTGTACATACTCATTAAAATATTTAATAAAGAACCTACATTATAAAACTGACCAGAGATTAGTTAAATCACAAGTTTGGCTTTAACAGATCAACAATTAATTGATTAAAAAAAGAGTAATATTGTGAAATATTATTACATCAACAACAACAAAATGTTTTCTATTTTAATATATTTTAAAATGTCATTTATTCCTGTGATGCAAAGCTGAATTTTCAGCATCATTACTCCAGTCTTCAGTGTCACATGATCCTCCAGAAATCATTCCAAAAATGCTGATTTGCTGCTCAAGAACAAATGTGGCAAATATATTAAAAAGTACCAAATTCCATGTTGATGCTGCAAGAGCTTTTTATTTTATTTTTTTATTACTAAAGCTTTTCTGAGGTGTTTTTGCAATTCATTTAAACCAACTGGTGAGTTTTAGTGAATGACTGAAAAATCAAATGTCTTACGGATCTTTTGTCTCAATTAAGGTTCATACAAACACAGTGGACAGGAAGGGGAACACAAACAAAATGTATATTCTTGTATCCTGAAACAGGTTATCACTGGTTCACTGGCTTCCATCTGTTGACTCTTTCCTGTTGTTGACTTGTTATTGCAGTAATGCATTATAAGTTTCTCAATTCCTCAGTCTTATTGAACAATATGTTTCTTGTGTAACAACAGCCTTCATACTTTAAGTGTGACATAAGTGACCAAATAAATTATATGGTTATTGTATTATTAATGTATGGGAAGTTTGGGTTTAATGAGTAATACAGCTGAGGAATAAATCTGAATATTTACATCTCTACTCAATCTGTTTCCCTAGTTGATGGACTGGCATGCTGACTGCATCGACATGAAGCCTGTGATCAAAAAATCTTTTCCTGGAGATCCAAGATCTGAATCGAATAAGAAGGGTGTTGAAACTTTGGTGCTGAGCAAAATGGAGGAATCAGGTGTGCTCTTTTGCCCACGGCTGAAATATAGAGTAAAATCTATTCAGGTGCCAGATGAAAGTCCTTCGGATATTAAAACAGAGGCTTCCATCTCCCAGCCTTCAAACTGCAGTACGATTAAAAATTACCACAGTATTAAAAAATACATCTGTAAGCTGTGTGGCATTGAGTATCGGCAGAGCATAAGCCTGGTGCGTCACATGCGAATACACACAGGTGAGGCGCCGCACATCTGTGAACTCTGTGGAAGGGGTTTCCGTCGTAAAGACTGGCTTCAGCTGCACAGCAGCATCCACACGGGTAACAAACGAAAGCTTGCGAAGAGCTTCAGTTGCCATGAGTGTGGGAAGAAGTTTACAGGCTCCACCGCGCTCCAGAGCCATCTGTATAAACACAGAGGTGAGAGGCCATTCACCTGCGCGCACTGCGACAAGACCTTCTACAGTCAGACCAATCTTAAAAGGCATCAGGTCGATTCTCATTCTGACGACAAACCCTTCTGCTGCCCTGTGTGTGGAAGACGATTCTCACGCCTTTTTACGCTGCAGAAACACATGCGGACTCACACAGGAGAGATGCCTTTTTCGTGTCCAGACTGTGGAAAGACTTTCCGTCATAAATACTCCATGGATATGCATTGTAAACGGCACTCAGCTGAAAAGTTGATGTAATGCACATTCATGCATGTCACATGAATTTCTGATTTATTCTGTTTATTTGTTTTAACCATGTTCCTTTTATTGATGATTATTTTCTGAATCTTATCAACTGTTTGATGCCAATAAAGAGCCTTTTTATCAACTTTTCATCACTGTTTTTCTCAGTTGATTACATTTTACAAGTTAAACCCAGCTAATTATTTTTGGTTCCAAGAACCAAATTTCCCAAAACAGACGTTCAAACATTCTCTGATGGTTAGCCAGAAAGTGCACTTTACGTAAATAGAACGCTCCCAAGTGGGTAAATAGCACGTTCCCCTAACATTCCCAGAACTTATTTGGTTCCTAAAAAAATTGCCAAATCGAAACATTAGAGGAGCGTTCTGTGTTTGCCAGGTACATATAAGCACTGTTCTATGAATCTGATACATTTCCATCACTACCTTAATTCGGTTAATACACTTAATTTATAAAATTTTATTTTGCTTAAATATGTCTTACTCTTTTTTCCAGATTTTTTGTTGCAGAGGTTTACTGAACACACTAAGCAACCTTTTGACGACAGACGGGGTCACTGGTCTGTCTTGAGGTGAAGTGAAGCAGAACAAGTGTCTGAAGTTGGAGATGATCGTTACTGGCACAGTCTCAGTGAATGTTCCTTTGAACAACTACATTGCAAGTAAGTGCTTTAAAACTAAGATTAAGCCCATTCACCAGAATTTTCAGAACGAGTTTGTAACCTTTAAAGTGAAAGTGGGTTAACAAACAATATTGGCAATTAAGTTAAACTTAAATTTATATGCACGTATAAGGGAAAGTAGGGCTGGCAGTATTTTAATCGATTCTTAAATCACAAAAATCTATATTTTAGTCTATGCTGTTTGATGCGTGAACAGTGCTTTGTTACTTTTCAATTTTGTCCATTTTTATCACGAAATTCAAGCAATAAATGTGTTTTTGTCGCTCTTTAATATGCAGTTCGGTCGCAATACTCAATCTGGTGCATCATATTCGGATACACGCAGGCGAGGTGCCATTCTAGGGGTGTCCGGTTCCAGGTTTTTTGGAGTCGACTCCGACTCCCACTATTGGAGTCGATGGAATCGACTCCTTGACTCCATTTAATGTGACTGTCCAAATTAGTCCAATCTAGCGGTGACATTACCTTTAAATGAACTATCACCGTTGCTTGCTGTTGCCGACACTTAATTTCACAGAGGGAAAAGTCACGAAAGTTACTCATGCCCTTATATTCATTATAATTCCTTTGTTGCAGAGTCAAGCGAATTATCGCTTTTTTTTGTCTTATTGTAGTGAAGTTTCTTCTGTTCTAATTGATACCTTGTTCTATACCTAGTTCTTCAGGTATCATATTCTTGTTTCATTTTTATGTCTTTGTCTTTGTTTTCTTTAAATGCCAGGGGTTTAAAAATCAATGTTAAAAGGAAGGCTTTATTTTTGTTTTCTAAGAGGCACAAAGTAGATTTCTGTTTTTTCCAGGAAAGTCACTCTACAGCTAAAGACACCACATTTTGGAGGTCACAGTGGGGCAATGAAATATGGCTGTCACACGGGTCAGAATATTCTGCTGGAGTAGGGATCATGAAGTATAATTTTAATGGTCGTATTCTGGAAACCAGTATTGATCCTTCAGGTCACTTCCTGCTAATAGTAGTTGTTAACCAATTTATAGTAATTATTGTCAACATCTATGGATACAACTCTGTTGTGGAAAACTGCACTCTCTTTAACATGCTAGATCAAAAACTTTCATCTGCGTTAGGGAAATATCCTACTGCCTTTTTGATTTTAGGTGGTGACTTTATCATAGTAATGAATAACATGCTAGATCGACACCCTCCAAGAAAAGCAGCTTCATCAAACTCTAATCTTATAGCGTTTATGGATAAATTTGATTTAGTTGACATATGGAGGGAAATGTACCCGGATGTAATGCAGTACGCTTGGTGTAACAAAGACCGTTCAAGGCAATCCAGAATCGATTATTGGTTGATCTCTAAAACATTAATAAATAATAATATCTCTATTAATATTAGCAACAGACTGACCATAATGCCATTTCAATTAATTTATCACAAAATACTACAATTAATATTTCTAAAGCGTCGCTTTGGAAACTAAACCGTTCTCTTCTTAAATATGAAAAGGTCAAACAGCAGATTGATGAATTAATCCAAACTTACTGGGAAAGGGCTGAATCAGAACAAGCTTATGGAAGGAATTGGGAGCTTCTAAAATATGAATTGGGGAAATTCTTAAGAAAATTTGGAAGTAATATAACAAAACAAAATAGATTAATTGAAGATTAAGTTCTTTCACAGCTTTCTGCTTTATCATTTAGGGAACCATTGACAGAGACTCAAAACACTAAATATTCAAAGCTACAGAATAAATTAGATGAGTTGTACAGATCCAAAGCTAAGGGAGCCTATGTTAGATCCAGGAAAAAATGGCTGGAAGGAGGAGAACAAAACTCAGCCTATTTCTTTAGGTTGGAAAGATCCAATGCTATGAATGTTTCTATTGATCATCTCCGAACAAATGATAGAGTTCTTGATAATCCTAAAGAAATCACTGCTTATTGTTCCAAATTCTATAGTAACTTATATACATCAAGATATTGTGATAATTCAGCCAACTTGTTTTTTGACCTCGTCAATCAAAATAAAGTAATTTCATTAGAAGATAAAGAAGCTTGTGACGGGAATATCTCTCAATCAGAAATTCTACAGGCAATTAAGAGTTTAAAAAATAATAAAAGTCCGGGCAGTGATGGTCTAACCGCTGAGCTGTATAAGATGTTTGACAAAAATGTATCTCCTTTCTTATTAAAA